ACGAGACTCAGGCTCCCGACGCTCAGTAAGACCTCCAGTCGGACCTGTGTAAGGAGCAGGACCAGGGAGAGAGGAGGCAGACGGTAGCTGCGACTTCAGCGGGACAGACGGAGGACACCCTAAGGAGGGAGGAGGACAAGGAGGAGGAAGCTTACCAAGAACTTGCTGAAGGAGCGGAACAAAGTACGGCCGCTGTCGTGCAGCGACTCTAGAACCAGCAGAGACACCAGCGCCAAGATCCTCAGTACCAGCAGTAGCTCAAACGCCCGACTCCACAGCACCAGCAGCAGCACCAGCGCCAGGGTCCGCAGCACCAGCAGCAGCTCCAACGCCCGGGTCCGCAGCACCAGCAGCAGCTCCAACGCCCGGGTCCGCAGCACCGGCAGCAGCTCCAACGCCCGGGTTCGCAGCACCAGCAGGAGCTCCAACGCCCAGGTCCTCAGCACCAGCAGTAGCTCCAACGCCCGTTTCCGCAGCACCGGCAGCAGCTCCAACGCCCGGTTCCGCAGCACCAGCAGGAGCTCCAACGCCCGGGTCCTCAGCACCAGCAGCAGCTCCAACGCCAGTAGCACCACGAGCAGCAGTGGAGTCCGTGACACCAGGCGCGCCACTCCGAAGCGTGCAGCGCCGCTCGTACCACTCACGGATCCACTCACGGGAGGGGAGCTCCCGACTAGGAAGAGAAGCACCTGCACCAGACCCTGTAGTACGCCTGGCTCCAGAGGTACCTCTCCTGAGGCTGCAGTACTGTAAGTACCACTCACGCAGCTGCACCAAGGAGAGGGCTCCTCCAGGTGTAGGACCCTCTAGCCCAGCACCTCCAGACTCAGAACCCCCTGACTCCGGACGCTGCGGCTCAGCACCCCCAGGCTCAGCACCCCCAGGCTCAGTACCCCCAGGCTCAGCACCCCTAGGCTCAGCACCCCCAGACTATGCACCCCCAGTCTCAGCACCCCTAGGCCCCGCACCCCTAGGCTCAGCACCCCCAGTCTCCGCACCCCGAGGCTCAGCACCCCCAGTCTCCGCACCCCCAGGCTCCGCACCCCCAGCACGACGAGAGTCGACAGCAACCTCAACAGGCTCAATCGGGTCTACCTGAGACACACCTGGGGGAGCGGCACCCTGAGGGGGGAGGGGGTCTACGACGGCAGCACCTGGCGTGAGGAAGAGAGGCGGGGGGGGGGAGCGGGGCAGTGCGGTAGGGGAAGAGGCGGTAGTAGGGGACGGACTCGTCAAAAGTGACGTCCGGAGAGGGCAAGACCCGGCGCGAGGTGGCATACTAAAACTGCCAACCAGGCGCGTCCGGGACAAAGCCAAGGAAGACACAGGGAACAACACGGGAGGAGAGCTTGTCCGCAGACGTATCGCGGACAAAAGCTCGAGATCCCCAGACCCGGAAACGCGATGCATCGCCAACCTCCCCCGTCCACAGCAGTGTGGGCGAGGTCTCCGGCAAGGAGACACGGGGCCAGAGGTTGAGCTGATGCGCAGCGTACCGGACCGCAAACGGCCACAGAAAGTGGGGGGCAACCGCATGGATCAAGGAGGTACGGGCGACCTCCATGACCAGGCCAATGCGGCGCTCCGCAACCCCATTCTGCTGTGGAGAGGCCGGAAGCGTGAACGACTGCTCAATGTCGTGCTCAGCACAGTAGGCTGCCAAGAGGTCGGAGGAGAACTCACCACCTCTGTCAGAGTGCAATCGCAGGACAGGAAAGTCCGAGTGAAAACGCTCGCTGAGCTGGAGACGGGCTCTGCGGATCCAAGGGATTAAGACATCAGGGACCTCACCCTTGGTGCGCAAGGGGAAGACCGTGGTGTAGCGCGAGTAGTCGTCAACAACTACCAGGAAGTACCTCTCCAGACCCTGACAACGGACGCGGGCTGGGCCTCACACGTCCATGTGGAGCGTCTACAAAGGGTCAGTCGTCGGGGGAAACGAGGAGTGAGGAGCGGCGCGCTGCCGCCCCTTGACACAGGGAAGACAGGGAGGAGCAGGTGAGGGTGGGAGGGGAGGGAGGACCCTGGGAAGACCAGAGACAAGGTTCCGGGAGTGCATGGCACGAAGGCGGTGCACAGACGGGTGGTGCCAGAGGACAGTCTCGTGCGCTAGAGAGCGACACGAGCAGGGGGCAGACAACTGACCTGACGCGGACGCAGACGCAGACGCAGCGACCTGAGGGGACGCGGTAGTCAGTGTGTACAGGTCCGACCCCGGCTGCCGAGTGAAGGTAGCCAAGTGGTGGCCCGTACGAGCACACGTGCAGTGTGTCACACGCTCATAGGCAGGGGTGAACTGGTGATCACCCCCGTCTTGGAGTGCACAACCTGCAACCAAGTTCGTAGAGAACGAGGGGAGGTGGAGACCTGACACTGTGCCCGACGGGACCGCAGGACAGGGAAGGACATTGGAGGAGGTCGCAATGACCGGACCCCCAGAGGGGTCAGCGAGGGAGACAGCAACTGGCCGAGCAAGTGGCTCAAGGGCAGTGCGGTCACGAAAGAAGCAGCGAGAGGCACATGAGTCCAGTGTGAAGGTGTGCAGTGCTGTAGTCGACTCAGTACCAGGGGGGGCAGACACACAAGCACCTAGAGCAGCTGCCTCACCAGCACCTGGGGTAGCAGACACTCGAGTACCTGAAGTGGCAGACGCACTAGTCCTAAAGCCCGGGTCGGGCGGGACACACAGGTACTCAGCACCCTCTCCACTAGTAGACATCACATACATAGCAGTGAGAATAGCATCAAAGTCTAGAGCATAGATATCAATCCCCTTCTTCAGGAGATCAATCCAGCGGGGCAGCTCAGTGGCGTGAGGGAACTGAACACGCCAAGCGTCGTTGAGACGAGCGAAGCAACGCTGTGTGGCGTGCGGTCCCCCACACGGCTGGCCAGTGCGAATGACGTACGTGCAGCTAAAGCCACCCCCCCCCCCCCCCCCCCCCCCCCTTGTGCTGAGAGTACCACTCACGGACCTTCTGGGGCGACGGAGTGTGCTGCTGGCCCTGGCCACCGCCAGCGCCTCCACGACCACCACCGCCGCCACCACCCCCTCGACCACCCCAACCCCTGCCGCTGCCGCATCCACCGCCACCCCCACCACCTCCTCCGCCCCGGCCACCTCCCCCACCGCTGCCGCCACCCCCCCCACCGCTGCCACCTGCCCCTCCAGTCGCGCCACCACCCCCACCGCCACCACCTCCCCCACCACCGCCTCCCCCGCTGTCACCGCCACTGCCCTTGCCCCCTTTGCCCTTGCCGCTGCGGTGCCCGCTCGAAGCAGACGCAGTCCCGACCTTCTCAGCACCAAGGAGGTCGAGAGCAGCAGCATAGGCGACAGAAGGAAGAAGGGGGGAAGGAGAACACCCCTCAAAGAACGGGGTACGGGGGTCGCCACGAGAGGCACCTACAGCGACTATGCTAGCCTCAGCTGCAAGGAGTTCCTTCTCGAGGAGGGCAATGGTGAGCTCAGTGGAGCAGCGAGCTAGGAAGTGGTCCCTGACTGAGCGCAGAGTGTTAGGGAGGCGCGTGACTAGGTGGTAGAGAGTGAGCCAGAGCGGGGGTGGGTTCGTGGCAAGGAACTCATCAGGCATAGCGGCGCGGAAGCGAGCCTCACTAGTGCGGAGGTGTGTAATGAGGTCAGCGACTGTGTGGAAAGAGGCTAAGTCGGGGAACAAGTAGGGAAGAGAGAGACGGCCTAGTGCGGCAGAGGCCGGTAAGGAGTAGCGGGCAACGACAGCAGTGTACAGTGCCTGCGCAGTCTTGTGCTGCCCAAAGTGCTCGCGCTCATCTATCGGCAGGGAGTTGCGAATAGCGAAGCGAGCGTGGGCGTCACGAGTCTGCCATTGTGAGCGGGCAGTGCTGTCAGCAGTAGCAGCAGGAGCAGTAGCGTGGCCTAGGGCGTGATCGTACACTGAGATGTCCTCGTTGGCAGTGAGCTGTAGGAAGAGGTGTAGGTCATCAAGCCAGGTTTCGAACTTCACTGGGCGGCCCTCAGCATCAAAAGCTAGCACAGGAGGGCTAGCCATAGCAGTAGTAAGAGTAATAGTAGCAGTATGAGGAAAAGCAGTAGGGGCACCCCAAGGACAGGTAGGGCGGCTCGGTACAGTACGGACGGCGCGGCTCGGTTCAGGTAGGGCGGCGCGGCTCGGAAAGGGCGGCGCGGCTAGGTTCGGGCGGCGCAGCTCGGTTTGGGCTGGGCGCCTCGGTTCAGACTGGGCGTCTCGGTTCGGGCTGCTCGGTTCGGGCGGCTCGTTCTGGGTGGGGCCGTTCGGGGCCTCTAGGGGCGAGCGCGGGGTCGATCGGGGCCGATCGGGGCCTCTAGGGCCGAGCGCGGGGCCGATCGGGGCCTCTAGGGACGAGCGCGGGGCCGATCGGGGCCTTTAAGGGCGAGTGCGGGGCCGTACGGGGCCGCTAAGGGCGAGCGCGGGGTCGATCGGGGCCTCTAGGGGCGAGCGCGGGGCCGATCGGGGCCTCTAAGGGCGGGCGCGGGGCCGTACGGGGCCGCTAAGGGCTAGCGCGGGGACGATCGGGGACCTTTAAGGGCGAGCGCGGGGCCGTAAGGGGCCTCTAAGGGCGAGCGCGCAGCCGTTTGGGGCCTCTAGGGGCCGTGAAAAACGAGGCGCCCTAGGGCGCAGTTAGGTAGGTAGGTAGTGGTGGGCCCTAAAAACGGTCCTAGCGAAGGACCTGCTCTATACCATGTTGAAATGAATGAGTAGGAATGATTGAACTAAGAGTGAAAGCAGTACAAGTACCTAACCCTAGAATTGTGTACCCCCTATAGGCTAACCCACTATAGCTTAAACAAGCACAAGATGTATAATGTTTGACATCAGCAGGTAGGTGAGACAGCGAAGCTCCTGTGAGCCATGGCCCCTGCGTAGATCTCAGCCTCACAACTGGAGCCGAGAACAGAAGACGAGCGGGTAGACCGCCACGAGACAGAGCCGGAACCAAGGCTGAAGGTGTAACCCTGTGACGACCGCTGCGTAGCCTGGTCGTCAGCCCAAGAAGCGTCTGCGTGACCAGTGAGGACCACTGGACTCCGCCCTCCAAGCACAAGCCCCATGCCCGACGTACTGCACAAGTAGCACAGGGGAGGGAGGGACCGGGGGAGACCAGAGATAAGGACACGGGAGGCCATGCCTCGGAGACGAGGCAGGGAGGGGTGACCAAGGCGGTGGTGCCAGAGGAGAGTCTGGTGAGACACGAGACGATACGAGCAGGGGGCACACTCAGGACCAGACCTGGACGCTGCAGCAAAAACCTGACCCGACGCAGCTACCTCACCAGACTCAGCATCCGAAGGAGACTCAGTAGTCAGTGTGTACAGGCTCGACCCCGGCCGACGGGTAAACATGGCCAAGTGGCGGCCCGTCCGAGCACACGTGCAGTGTGTCACTCGCTCACTCGTAGGAGTGAACTGGTGAACCCCCCCGTCCTGTTGGTCAGCACCACTCACCAAGTTCGTAGAGAACGAGGGGAGGTAAAGACCGGACAGGGTGCCAGAGGGGGCTGCCAGACACGGTAAGACAGTAGAGAAGTGGGCAAGGACAGGACCACCAGAGGGGTCTGCCAGGGAGACCGCATTTGGCCGACTAAGCGGCGTGATTGTGGTGCGGTCTCGAAAGAAGGAGCGGGAAGCACCCGAGTCAAGGGTGAAGGTGTGGGAGGCCTGAGCCGACGTGGTACCTGAGAGCGCAGACTCACCAGCACCTGAGGGAGCAGACTCACTAGTACCTAGCGTAGCAGCCTCACCAGCACCTAGAGCAGCAGCCTCAATGCCCAGTTCAGACGGAACACACAGGTAACAGTCACCCTCATCACTAGTAGAAACAGCATACATAGCAGCAAGAATAGTATCATAGTCAAGATCAAAGATAGCCACTCCCGCCCTAGACAGCTCGCCCCAGCGAGGGATCTCAGTGGCGTCAGGGAACTGGTGACGCCAAGCGTCCGTCAGGCGGCCGAAGCAGCGCTGGGTGGAGTGCAGACCCCCGCACTACTCACCCGCACGGTCGCCGGTACGGAGGACGTAGGTACAGGGGCTAGCACCCCCACCCCGCTCACGCCCAGCGTACCACTCACGAAGCTGCTGGAGGGAAGGGGTCTCACGAGTGCGCTGCTGCTGCTGGCGCTGTCCACCACCGGGGCCACCTCTCTGCGTAGAGCCGCGACCAGCTCCACTGCCGCCGCCGCCACCTCCGCCTCCTCCACCTCCTCCGCCTCCTCCGCTCCCACCGCCACCGCCGCCGCCACCCCCGCCTCCACTGCTGCCATCGACACCTCCACCCCCTCCACCACTCCCACCACCACCCCCACTCCCTCCACCGCCTCCCCCTCCACCTCCGCCGCCCCCGCCAGCTCCTCCAGCGCCCTTGCCCCCCTTGCCCTTGCCGGTGCAACGTCTCCCGCTAGGGGCAGGCGCAGCTCCGACCGACTCGAGGCCAACGAGGTCGGCCGCAGCAGCAGAGGCAACAGAGGGCAAGAGGGGGGAGGCGGAACACCCCTCAAAGACGGGGGTACGAGGGTCACCACGAGAGGCCCCGATAGCGACTATACTCTTCTCTGCTGCAAGGAGGCGCTCCTCGAGGAGGTCAACGGTGAGTGCGGTGGGGCAATTTGAGAGGAAGTGGTCCGTGACTAAGCGAAGGGAGTCAGGGAGCCGGGTGACTATGTAGTAGAGGGTGATGTACATGGGGGGGGGGGGGGTTCTTGGCGCAAAACTCAGCAGGAAGCGCAGCGTGGTAGCGAGTATCACTAGTGCAAAGGTGCGTAATGAGGTCAGTGACTGTGGGAAAAGCGGCGAGGTCATGGAACAGGTACGGCAGTATGAGGTGGCTAAGGGCAGCAGCGGCAGGGGAAGAGTAGCGTGCAACTACAGCGTCGTACAAGGTCTTAGCACTCTTGTACTGACTAAAGTGCGCACGCATAGCGGTCGGTAAGTGGCGACGCATAGCAAGACGGGCAGAAGCATTGCGTGTGGCCCACTATGAGCGAATAGTTCTGTCAGCATCAGCAGGCGGGGCAGGAGAGGCACCAGACGTGAGATCGAACAGGGAGAGACCGTCTGCCCTGTCGCATTGTAGGAAAAGCTGCAGGTCATCGACCCAGACCTCAAAGTCAACAGCTCGACCCTCAACATCAAAGGTAAGGACACTGGGGGTAGCCATGACAGCAGCAGTCTAGCGGTGAGGGCAGCAAGGTAGGAGTAGCACAGTGGCAAAGGTGCCGCTCGAGAATGCTCTCACCGGTCTAAGTAGGGAGGGCCGAGGCGAGTAGGCAGGAACAGGGCCACAACTGTGGCGGCAGCGGCTCGGTGGCTCGGCGGCGGTTCGTCTGCTCGGCGACTCGGCGGCGGCTCGGCGGCTCGGCGGCAGCTCGGCGGCTCGGCGGCGGCTCGGCGGCTCAGCGGCTCGGCGGCGGCTCGGCGGCAGCTCGGCGGCTCGGCGGCGGCTCGGCGGCTCGGCGGCTGCTCGGCGGCGGCTCAGCGGGAGGTGGCGACCGGGCCATTGGAGGGCGGCGACGAGGCCACTAGAGAGCGGCAACGGGGCCGCAAAGGGCGGCGACGGGGCCGTTAGAGGGCGGCGACGTGGCCGCAAAGGGCGGCGACGGGGCCGCTAGAGGGCGGCGACGTGGACGTGAAGGGCGGCGGTTGGGCCGCGAAGGCGGCGACGGGGCCGTGAGAGGGCTGCGACGAGGCCGCGGCGTGCGGCGACCGGGTCGCTGGAAGGCGGCAACGGGGCCGCTAGAGGGCGGCGACGGGGCCGACAGAGGGCGGCGACGGGGCCGCGAAGCGCGGCGGCGCGGCCGCGAAGGGTGGCGGGCGGGCCGTAAGGGGCGGCGACGAGGCCGCGTAGGGTGGGGCCGCTAAGGGCGGCGCGACGGGCCGCTAAGGGGAGGGCGGCCGTCAGGGCGCGCCTCGGACTTAGGGCAGGAAAAAAATTTTTCTCGATGTTCAGTGGTGGGCCCTAGGAAAAAAAAAAAAAAATCCCACTAGGGAACCTGCTCTATACCATTTGAAGAAATGAGGAATGGATGAACTAGCGGGAAGGTGGGTACAAGTATGAAAACCTAAAAGAGTTGTACCCCTTATAGTCTACCCCACTACAGCCTAGATAGACTATAGCATACAAACTTGACAGACGCCGACGCCGCCTTCGTTGGTCACCGGTCGAGGAGAAGCTAGTCGAGAAGAGGGATGCTCCGTTGCCCACATGGAGCGAAGTCCAGCCTCGACGACCGCCCAGGGTATCGCCCCATACTCCTGGGCTTCATGGCGTCTCCTTGCATCCTCCAGCCGTCCCTCCACGGTGTCCATCACCTTGGTATCACCTACGCGCATGCTAGGGACCTGTACGGCTGCCGGCCTACGAGCAACTTAGGTAAGTGACCTCTACGTTGACCTGACTAAAAGGTAAGTCGTGTGCCGTCCACGCTCAACGCACCATGCGTTGATAACTACTACAATGGGAGCTAGACTGCGGGCTAGGCACGGGTGCTTGTGTGATCTCTGAGTTCGTTGGTCCTTAGTCATTTTCCTAGTGCACACACTGCTTGCTAGTTCACGGGGCAAGTTGGCAAGAGTTTCACTAGAGAGAGTTGACAACAATGGGTACAATAAAGTTGGCATGGCAAGGCTACATAAGAGCTAGCATTCAGGTCGATCGACTGCCAACGCAGCATGGTCGACCGCGTTCCAGCACGACCTGGTTGACCACGCTCCAGCAGTGCAAAGTCGACGGCGTGCCAACGTCGCAGATTGACGGCGTGCCAGCGTTGCTCCCGCAGAACAGCAGCGCACCCGCTTCGCAGGTGCTCGCAGATGATTGGCTGGTTGAGACTCATCACCTGCACAACGCACACTCCAAGTCATCCACGTACTGACGACTCCACCTGATCCGCCCACGTCGACCTCGAAATACCACCACCGAGGTCGGACTTGCCAACTTCGCCTGGGCGACCGTCGCACTCTTCCGCAGAACTTCGTCACCCAGGTAACCTGGTCGACCGGGCAACCACGTCAACCAGCTGCTCCTGTATGTGCCCGTCGACCTCCCAAGTCGACGGCCACCCCAAGTTGACCTCACCAGGTCGACCACACCCCCGGTTGACCAGCTCGAGGTCGACGTCCATTCTGGTCGACCAGCTCCACGTCGACCAGCAGTCCTGGTCGACCAGCTTCATGTCGACCAGCGCAGTTGTCGGCCGACCACCCAAGTCGGCTACCCGAAGTCGGCGTCACAAAGTTGACGCCCAGCTACTCGACGCCCAACTGCTCGGCGTCCTGAGTCGAGGTCGACATCGGCCCCTCCTTCATCGACCACCAGGTCAGGAGCAGGCCTGGTCGACCAACCACCAGGTCAACCAGCAGTCCGTCAGCCGACCACCGAAGTCGGCTTCCCCGAGTTGACGTCACCAAGTTGACGTCCTCCGCAGGTCGACTTCCCAAGTCGACCGCCCTGAAGTCGGCGCCACCCTGAAGTCGGCGCCCGTACAGTGGTCTCCGTGCAGGTCGACCTCCTCGTCAACCGGCTCGCTTACTACTGCAGGTCGGCTGCTTCCCTCACACCCGACCACGAAGTCGGCTCCGCCCAACCGAGGACGGGGCCAACACACAACTCCCGTTGACACTGACACAAGGCAATGGCGGCCTTGTTGTCTACGTACAGAACTAGAGAAGAATGAGGCCGCTCTCCCAAGTCTGTCAGGAGGTAGGTGAGCCAGCGTAACTCTTGTGCAGCCATGGCTGTGGCGTAGATCTCAGCCTCACAACTGGAGCTGGGAACAGAAGACGAGCGTGTAGACCGCCAAGAAACAGAGTTAGAGCCAAGACTGAAGGTGTAACCTTGTGACGACCGCTGCCTAGCCAGGTCGTCAACCCAAGAAGCGTCCGAGTGCTCGGTGAGGACAACGTTGCCCCGTCCTCCAAGCACGGGCCCCATGCCCGATGTACTGCATAAGTAGAGTAGCACCCTGTTAGCAGCATCCATGTGCACCTTTTGGTGCCTACGAGGAGCCACGTAGCGAGCCAGACGGCCAAGAAGGTATGTGAGGTCAGGTCGAGTGCAGGTCATCAGGTACATGAGGCAGCCCACTAGCTCTGGGTAAGGACCACTCGGCTCTACGGACTCGTTCGAAGGTGGAGCTGAGAGCGAGTGACCTGTAGCCAGAGGAGTGGCCTGTGCCGAGGACCATGTGAAGCTGAAGCACTGAAGGACCTGGTGCACCATGTGTGACTGAGTCAGTATGATGGTGCGGCGTGCTCTGTCCCGGGTGATCTGCAAGCCAAAGTAGCTGCACAGCTCACCCAGGTCTGTGCACGTGTGTCTGTTCTGTAGCTTCGACTTCACCAGGGCGAGAGCCTCAATGTCAGCAGTGGCAAAGACGAAGTCGTCAACGTTCACGAGGATGTAGAGCGGCGGCAGCGAAACCCAAGAAGGAGCAAACCCAAGAGCCGCAAGTGTTGTCCTCAGTCTGTCATGCCACTCACGAGGCGCCTTGCGCAGACCATAGACTGGCCGGCAGAGGCTCCACTGGGTACTAGAAGGGAACGACACAGTGAAGCCAGGTGGGCGGCGCAGCCAGATCTCCTTGTGCAGGCTGCCTTGTAAGAAGGCTGTGCTGAAGTCAAGAGAGTGAAGCTCGTAGTCACGCTAAGCGGCAACATGCAGCAGCACCCGAAGAGTGGTCATCTTCGGGGTGGGGTAGAAGGTCTAGAAGAAGTCAACTCCCTCTCGCTGACTAAAGCCTCGAGCAACGTTACGAGCCTTGAAGACAGGCGGAGAACCCGGCGGCCGCTTCATCATGAAAATCCACATGCCATCCACGTAAGTGCCTGTGGACTTCCAGGATGCCATCTCTGCGTCCATGACTGTCTGCCACTGAGAGGAGCAGGGACCCGAAATCGCCTCTGCGTAAGAGCGCGGGGTCGGGATGTCTGGTGCATCCGGGCCTCCCTCAGGGGCAAGTAGCATGGCCACGAGATGAGGCGCACCAGCTGCAAGACAGTCAAGGTCCTCCTGCCTATCCTCAAGGACGCCCGTGCCAAGAGCACACCCTCCCCCGACGGGCAGAGGACAGACAGACTCAGACTCAGCAACAAGACTAGCGGTGTAGTCTAGACGAGAGGCAGCAGCAAACTCAACAAGCTCAGCGACTAAGGCAGACGCAGCAGCAGACTCAAACGATGGGTCAGTGACAATAGGGGCTTGCAAAAGCGTGAAAATAGGGTGCTCAGCACAAAACCGGTAAGACTCAAGGTCAGAAACGGCTGGCAAAGAAGACGCAAGAGGAGACGGCTGAGGAACACGCTGCGGAGGAGAGGAAGGACGCAGAGCCATGAGGTGTGTGCCGGGGACAGCTGGCGGATGCGGACGAGGAACATGACTACCAGTACGACCAGTACGGACAGTGCGAACAAGCTAGACCAGGTGCGACGCAGGCTCACGATGCTCAGCAAGACCTCCTAGCTGCTCAGTGTAAAGAGAAGGAGCAGGCAGTGGTGAGCCAGGCTGTAACGGAAGACCAGTAGATGACGGGAGGCTAAGAACCTGGCGAAGCACGGAGTCAGGCGGTGGCAGAGACGACGGAGACGGCGGAGCAAAGAAGATTCGTGGCTGCGGAGCGCCACCAGCACCAGCAGCACCAGCGCCACCAGCAGCTCGTGCACCTCCAGCAGCTCCAGAACCTCCAGCTCCAGCTCCTCGAGCGCGAGCACCACCATCAGCTCCAGAACCTCCAGCGCCAGCACCTCCAGTACCAGCGTCATTAGCAGCTCTAGAACCTCCAGCGCCAGCACCTCCAGTACCAGCGTCACCAGCAGCTCCAGAACCTCCAGCGCCAGCACCTCCTGTACTAGCGTCACCAGCAGCTCCAGAACCACCAGCGCCAGGGCCTCCAGCGTCTGCACCTCTAGTAGCTCCAGAACCTC